TCCTAATCCACTACTGCTAGTTGGTCTTCCAGGTCCTAATCCACTACTGCTAGTTGGTCTTCCTGGTACAAGTCCTCCACTGCCAGGCCGACCTGGTCCACTTCCTTGAGGTCGGGATACAATACTTCCAGGATGACCTTGAAGGCCACTACCACCAGGCCTGGCCTTTGGCACACTACCAGATGTTCCTCCAGTTTTTGACTGAGGCTGGCTCCCAGCCTTAGGGGGGCCACTCAAAGAAGGTCTCATCACTGAATTTCCACCTGATTTTGCTGCAGAATTCATTCCAGACCGTGGTGGTTCTCCCCTTCCGAACTTGGGGTCTCCATTTGTGGGTCCCTGCTTTGAGGAGCTACCCTGACTAGGCTTAATCTGTTGAGAACTCACCTGTTTGGACTTCTGGCCTGTGCCAGCTGCACCAGAGGGCCTGTTCCCAGGAATACCTGAAACTTTTCCTTGAAGTAATGACGAGCTTTCTCTTCTGAAGCTAAGGTCACTTAAGGTGCTGGATTTGTGGCTAGACGAGGGCTTTGGGGCCCCTTGTTTGGCTAAAACCTGAGATGACATGGCTTTTGAAGGTACTTTACTGTTTATGACACCTGATGAATTAGACAAGCTTGTCTTGGATTTTTCTTTATCACTGCAAGACAGCTTGGTTCTTTCTCTATCACTACCAGAAAGTTTGGAAAAAGAGAGGCCTGTATCATTAAATACTGTTGGTTGTGACTTCTTTATTGACCCACTGGGCACACTTTGTTTTTCTAAGCAGATCTTTTGTGGTCTGCTGTTCTTCTGTTCCCTCTCAAAAGTGTTTTTTTGACTTGAACTATAACCAGACTGAGACTTCCCATCTCTTCCTCTGTCTGCCTTTGAGTTTTTGTCTTTGTCTTGTTTCTTAGCCTTGCGCTCAATCTCCAGTTCCTTTATCTCATCTGCTGTGCGCAGCCTTTCCTCCTTTTTCACTACTTTGGGTTTTAGATCAACTGGTTCAAACTGTTTCTTTTCTGCCAATTTGAGCAAGTCAGCAAAGTTCATGGAAGGTGCAGGGGGCTTGGGCGGCCCATTGTTTTTTTTAGAAGAGGTTTTGCCACTACTACTGCTACTATTTCCCGCTATTCTGCCAGGCCTCAGTGGCTCGGGCTCGGACTCTGGCTCTGAATCTGTCTGTTCATACTCGTAGTTGTCCTCATCATCATCCTCTGGGTCAACTGTATTATTCCTAAAACTTCCCCCATTCAAGTCATCTTCCTGCATATCATGTTTTGATCTCCTCTTTTTGGGAACCTCTACCACTGGGACACCATTGTAGCCTTTGAAGTTATCCTTAGTTCGGGAGGCCATGGCACGCGCTTTACGGTCTGACTTTAACTCAACCCTCTTGGCTAATAGCTCCTCTTTCTGTTTCTTCATTTCCCATTCTAGGAAAAAACACACACACACACACACACACACACACACACACACACACAAAATGAATGAAGAACAATCTGTATACAACAGTCCATAACTAATAAATCCCAATATTCTGCATTAGAAACTTAACAGTTATTAAATCATTAATACCTTTCTTTTTGTTTTCAGTGACTTGCTTCTTCAGAAGTGCCTGCACAGCAGCAGGATTTACACCCTTTGACTTTGGGTCCTTTTTCGGGGGTCCAGCTTGTAAACTGTATCTCTTCTGCTCAAAGAGAAGAACACATACAATACAAGTTGTAGTTTATGGGGAAAGTGTACACTCTTGTTTAACATTTACAGTCCTCCCCATAATGATATAGCAAAAATGGTAATCTAATGTCACAATAAAATGTAGCATGTTTGTACACGTCTATACAGTATGACGACAATGAAAGTTGGCTACATTAACAGACCCTCCCTGATCTCTTTTTTCACACACATACCCACAGATGTTAAGTTTTCTCAGTGGCCTGAGTAAAACGTCTGCCAGTGAGAGCCTCCTACTCACCTGTACACTGCTGAGGCCCTGGTTTTGTGAGGCGATGTTCAATATGTTATCAAAATCCATGATTTCGGTCGGCGATGTAGGCTGGCTGTTTGAAGACTCAAGCAGGAGTGCTGAATGACTGTTTAGCTCTCAGGCGTTTCCAAACTTTACTTAGCCAGACAGCTGTAACAAACGACTGTATCAGTAACAGTCTACTGTAGGACATTTGCAAACAGAGTAGTTAATCCTACTTTCTTCACAATAGCACGCGTTAGCAAAGTTAGCTAATCTAACGTTTGGCAACGTTAACGTCAGCTAACCAAAAAGCTCGAAAGGCGAACTTCCGCTCTGCGCTGATAACGCACCAAACTAAGGGAAACCCCATCAAAATTTGCGTATTCAGCACCTACAGATGGACAAAAACCTCCAAATAACAAAAAAATAAATAAATCGAGCACAACCGACGCCGGGTGTTAGTAGAGACTAGCAGCTGGGTAGAACGAAAATTAAAGGTCCGAAGAGCTACTAACGGAAGTAAGATGACTCACTTGTGCGTATATCCGGCTTTGTGGGAGTACGAGTCAGAAAACGTTTTAGTCCGAAGTGTATTCGTGTAATATTTTATATGTGAGCGAGTTTTTGATTCATTTTCACGAACAAAATAATAACCCAACAAATTAACTTCCAAATACGAATATTTATTTTTATTTTTGTTGACGCGTGTCCGCTGAAGACAGGACGATGACTCTGAAAATGTCACATGGTCCTCCTAACCCATAGACTGCATCTTATATACACTAGAAGATGCAGTCTTATAGAAACTCGTTGTTTGAGAAGCGGTGATCCATCTTGATCGTGGATAAAGGAACCGACTGTCTGTTCGTATAACGGGACTTCCAGAAGTTCCTCCATACACTTGCCGGATACATGTATGAGGAGCACTTCCGTTTTCGGCCCCATAGTTTCCTTACGCAATGTCCGTCCAGAACACGTTTTGACAGCTGCAGACCACATGGTGTCGCCACTACTGTGGAAATCTAGAACACTAGAAATTTGATGCGAGGTATCAACAGAGCTGTTTCCACGTCTTTTCTTTCCTCGTCAAATAAATAAATAACGTTTATGTCTGGTTCAAAAAGAACACAGAGAATGCTACAACTTGTTTCCAGTGTTGGAAATATTTACAATAAAAATCATGTAATAAAAGAGGACAGGCTTACAAAAGATAATGCTGTATATGAAATTATATTGGAGAAAAGTTATAAAAGTGTATTTAGGGCGCAAAATATGTTTCTTGAGTAGAAATATACATATATAAAGTCAGAAAGTGCAGATGATTAATAAGAAGAAGGTGGGGACAGCTATGAGGAGAATCAAGAGTGGAAAGGCGGTGGTCCAGATACGGAGCAGCAACAAACAAGGGTGTTTAACACAATCTTGGAGAGTGAGTGGATGCCTATGGAGAAGAAGTGTATTGGTACTGTTTTTCAAAAACAAGAGTGTGACGTACGTACAGAGGTGTCGTTACTACAGAGCAGGGGCGATTCAAGGATCAGAGCTTTGGGGGTGCTGAGCACCCAGAGAGCTGCCCATCCAGGCAAGGTAAACTTTACTCATCACGATGAGACTTCTTCCTTGTCTCTATTAGTCCCTGCATCCCTAAATGTCTCCAGTTGTCCCAAATTCCCTCTGACTGTCTCCTTGGTGCATTTAAACCCCTGTTCCTCCCTGTCCTCATCGTCTGTTGTCTTCATCTCCATTATCAGTCATCAGAATTTTACCCTCTCTGTGCAAGTCTGCAAATTTCTTTGTTAAATCATAAGATTCTTAAATTCATCAAGTCTCTCTGTGCCTGGGTCCTCGTCACAAAACATGACATCACTGTTTTGTACATTTTAACACAATTTAATCCCCACATTTGTGAAAGAAAAGCAAAACACTTTTTTGACAAGTCTGTAACAAAACCATCAAATCTGATAAAGGTTATTTAAATGCTGCTAAAGAAGAATGGATTGGAATTTTTTAAAAAAACTGATGATGAAAATGATGCTCATAGTGAGTAAAAAGTAAACTGAGTGCATTTTTTGGACAGAGATTCACTTTTAAAGTGTATGTATAATATAATACAGATACATAAAAAATACACTCCAAAAATAAAAGAGTCCTTGAAATGTACAAAATATTATTAAAAAATTAGGAAAATTGAGACACCTTGGCCTATGGTATAATGTATGAAAAGATCTTTACTGCAGATACTACTATGGCTCTGCAGATTTTTTCTTTTCTTTTAACCTATGTCACCTCACCTTGAGGTTGGCAAATCTGTCTATCACATTTTGGTGGTCAAGTCTCTCAAGCATCTCTTTCTCAACTGACATCACAGCCAGGTGCTGGAGTCAGCTTTGACCCATGGTCCTTCTCAGCCAGGTATGGAGCTGACTCAAGACACTAAAAGACCTCTCACAGCTACAGCTGCTAACTGGGTTTGTTAGGGCAACCTGAATAACAATTTTCAGCGTGAGGAAGATCTGATTATCCAGAAGATTGTACAATGTTAACATATCTGGAACGGCACCAGCCTCACTCTTGAGCTTCAAAAAGTCTTTGGCAACCGTGACTTCCTCTGACTGAAGCTCAATATGGTAATGCAGTGCCAGGGCTGACAACCCAGTTTGTTTTGCAGATTCTGTATAGCAGCTTTAATATAGGGAGAACACAACTTCCAGATTGTATGAGTAAAATTAGTTTTGTTTTTTTTCTTTGCCAGTTTAACAGTTTCTGTTTTGCCTGTTAGTACTCCCTGTCTGTTTTCTTACCTGGTTCTTCCTGATCTTGTACTTTCTCCTCATGCTCCCCTCTTTCCTCTCTCCCTCTTTGGACTGACAATCATACACAAATAGATTGTATTCAATTAGATTAAAAAAATACTATTAAGATCACTAATAAAAAAGTCCTCTCTCAGTGTACTTTCAACCAAAAGGCAAATAACCAAACCACATGTACATCTAATGAAGGATATAAATATTGAAACACTGATCCAACATTACCCAAGGTACTAACTAGTCAGTTAGCTAGTTAGGTTTTCAGTTAGGGTTCAATATCGGTACATACACATATGACAAAAAAAACAGTTTCTCTCATTACATTTCAAACAGTTGTAGCAACAGTGGTAACAACGGCAGGCTACGGACAATGTTAAGTTTTAGATTTTAAATAGGCTATATACATTTCAATGAGATCAACAGGACAGTCAAATATTGCTGATGTTACTACAGAGGAGGACGGTTTATAGGGTAGCAAACATTGTTGGAAAACAAGTTTTCAACACTGCAGGTTACCTGGGTGTAATGTTTTTCAGCTAAAAAGAAACATGGCCTGACCCCTACCTAACTATATAAAGAGTAACCGAAAGTTAAATGCAGCTAATATGTCCTGTTTTGAGCAAGGCACTTCCATCTCCCCTCCGCTGCAGCCAATATGGCTCCGGCACAGCAACGGCGCTAGAGCCAGAGCATGGGAGAGCCGAGCTGGAACAAACCATTTTGGGAGGGGTTATCTATACTTTTGTTGTTAAAATGTTCCATCTCAATTAAGTACTGTATGCTTTTTATATTTTTAGCAGTGTGTCCCACAAACAGCAAATATCTTTTAAAAAAGTAAGAAATCTTTGGGGGTGCTTTGATTCATTTTGGAGGTGCTGAAGCACCCCCGCAAAATGGGCTAAAATCGCCCCTGCTACAGAGGCATAAAGCTGATGAGCCACGACAGCTAGCTAGCTAGGAAACAGTTGTGGAAGCTTGGTTAAGAAGGGAGTTGACAATCGGTGAGTAGCAGTATGTCTTCAAGCGGAGAAAAAATATGTTTGCTTTGAGGGTGTTGATAGAGAAGTGTAGAGAAGATCAGAAGCTGCACTGTAGCTTTGTGGAGCTAGAGAAAATGAGAAACTGGTATCACATAAGTAGTCGCAGAGATGCCTGTGAAGGTGGTGGAGAACATGTATGAAGCCAGACTGTAGTGAGGTGGTAGGGGTGATAGATGACTTCAAAGTGTGGGTGAAATTGTGATCTGTAGTGAGAGCAGGTGGACAAGATCCTGGAGAGGTGGAGGTATGTTCCTGGGAAAAGAGAATGAAAGTCGGAACAGAATACATGTGTGAATTAGAGAAAGAGAGGTGTTACAGTAAATGCAAGAGGGTAGAAGTAGTGAAGGTGGACTAGTTTAAATACCTGGGGTCAGCCATAAAAAGCAATTGACAGTGCATAAGAGAGTTGAAGAAGGGAGCGCACACAGGTTGGAGCAGGTGGGGAGGAGTGACAGGAGTGGTTTGTGACAGTAGGACAGCAGCAACAGTGAAGGTTGACAAGAAAGTAGTGAGGCCTGTCATGGCGTATGGTTTGGAGACAATGACCTTAAAGCAAATTGAAGCAGCGGTTGCTGTGATTTGGCACTAAATAAAACTGAATTTAATTGAATTAAAACAAAAAAAAGAGGAGCGTATGGTGTCAGAGTTGAAAATGCTCCGGCAGAAAAGTGGTTATTAATAGCTTAATAGCTTTCAATTCATCATCCATACAGCAGTAATGTTTTCTCATCTCTAACGCTCAATATGATCAATTAACGCTGAACTGTCGATGTGCAATCAAAAACCAAGCTCGACAAATCAAGCTCCATTTCCGTAGAATGTAAATAAAGGCCATCTGCTCCGGTATGTAAAAGGAACCCCGACTCCTCCTATCAGGGCGTCGCCTGACGCCTTATCCCGCCCTCTAAGACCAGTCTCTGCACCTATTGGTCAACACTGAAAGGCCTGTCACTGCCTCTCTGATGTCGGACCGCCCACAGGATCGAGGACAAAAACAATCGGCATCTCGCCGTCCTCAGTAAAACATAAACAAGAAGACTCAAACGAATCAGTGTATCCTTTTTAAGCGGCACGGGCAGCACCGAGGGAGAAATGGTTTCTCCAGTAACAGTGGTAAGTACCAGTTTCAAATGGCCATTTAAAACATTCAGGAATAAACAGCGGCTAGTTAAGCTAGTGATACAATAACGAGACTTCCGAAGATAACATCCTTAATGTGTGCATTGTCGACTGCCTCGAGCTGCTATTCAAGCATTTACTGGGGCATTTTCGTTGTTATTCATATCTTGTCATACTTTATCTCGGAAGGCCAGCGCATGCTCTCTGGTTCATTATTTAATTGCCAGTAAATAAGCGCGTCTGCTAAATGAAAAACCGTTCGCTCAGGTGCTCGCGGTAAGTCACGCAGCTATCTCATTTTCTCGTCATTAAATAGTGTATCTGTATGTGTTTGTGCAGACACAAGGCAGAAACTTTCTTGTTTCCGTCTAGCCGTTTCCCTTTTTTGGCACAGCAGCGACGCTGCTCGCTTGTTCCTTCTCGGTATTGAACATACACAAATTTCGAAAGGCTATCCCTGACAAAAAAGAAAGCTGTCATGCCACGACCTTTTTTGTGTTTTGTTTTTTTTCCGTTCCTTACCCTCCAGTAACGCATGCGCCGAGCTGTGGTCGATTCTGGCTTTCTTTTCATCTCCCTTGTTGTAGCTGTGCTTTATATAGAGTTTATTGTTTGGCGTATCTATTGGCTCAATAATGGACCTCACCTGGAAATCGTCCATTTTGACAAAAAAGCTGATAACTACATGAATAATTTAAGCAGGTGGAGCATCATCTTGCTCTAGCAGAGCTGCTATGAAATTTTACCCCCTTTGCTGGGGCCATGAAGGACGGTTCATTGTAAGTTGGCCTGTAGAAAACCCGGGTGTGTAAGCCTGTGTGGAGGAATGCCTGCCATACAGACTAGTTTCCTTAGTGATGAAGATACTGTGCAGGTCCTGGTTTTCCTTTATTTCTATTAGGGTCCCAGCATTGCTGAGAAAAAGATGTATGCTTTTATTCAGGGTTGTTTTTCTGATGCTGAAAAATTATAATATATTGGTGTGTTAGTGTCTGATAATTGCCTGTACCTGTTCAGAAGTAAACGTGATTATTGTCCCACTGGAGGCTGCTATTATTCAGTTTTACTTAGATGCAGTTCAACCGTTCCTGCTTGATTCTTTGGTATGTTTTTTTTTAAACACAGTACTACACTCAGTTTTACAACAGTGAGCAGAATGTTGTCCTTATAAGGGACTCTATGAACATTTTTAAATCTAGATATGTCAAGGAACCATTCAAACAGGCAGAGCACATGCAGTCTGAAACCAATCTGTACTGCCCAAAGACTTTGACTCACGTTGCTTGCCTTAACTTGATTTGCTTATTTTTGGCTATATTGATCATCTGTAGAGGCATCAGCACATCCAGTGCCCACAGTGGGGGGGGGGGTTGTTTTGTTTTGTTTTTTTTATCAGAAACTGAAGTTTTTACTCTTACGTCAGGAACTCAAGACGTCATACAGTGCAGCAGTAAGGTTGTATTCCTTTCTAGTCTGCATCCCCAAATGTCTTCAAGTCATCTTTGTTGAGCTAAAGCAGCTCAAAGATGGAAAAACCAGAGTTGTGTGATGCTTCGTAGAAATAACATTGTCATAAGACTCACATGCCAGCTGTGCAGACTTTAGAGGCGCCATATTTCTGTACTTCAAAAGGACACAAAAAAGAAAGAACAAATTGTCTTTTCTTTGGTTTAGGATACGAGGTGCCTTTTAAAGGTCAGTCTATGTGTATTGACTAATCATGCAAATATAGTCAATCATTAACAGTATTGTTTAACAGAGGACAGGAGCAGGTGTGTGTAGCTGTTCAGCTTTATATGGTCCTGCACTTTTGCAAACATCCTTTATTTATAATGTGATCATTTAGACAGATAAATGATGACGAAATGATTCATTTTCTTTGCTTCTTAAGTGAGGTATTATGTTCTCCTTTTTTTTTTCTGGCGACAGCCGGCTATTACAGGACTAACAGCCATCACTAATGTCCCTGTCTTCAGTGCTCCCACAGACAAACTGACGCCTCCACGAATAAGAGTGGACTGGTTTACAGTTGAGATGATAGTGTGCTACATAACTCCACCAATTTCAGTCAAGTACAAGAAACTGAACAGGAGAACAATGCTGATCATCTGAGCAAGAGACCCATTAAAACTGGTATAAAGCAGTTTATGGATTCCCACAAGCAATTATGCTTTCCTGATGGAAAAATTTGTGCAATCACATTTTAATGGGGTGGGGAAATATTACAGCAGCAATTGTTTAGGATATGACAGAAATTAATACTTGAACTCCTGATACTATCATAATCTGGATTCATATCTAAGTCAGCAAAATGAAACTTCTTTTATAGAACACTGTAACAAAATTGAACCCTAATTGTATTAGAAGACTTAAAGGATTATGTTATAAATGTTTCAAATCCTATTTTAGTTATGCCTTTCTCCTTCTTAAAGGATTTTGTTTAGCGTGTACATGCCATGATTGGATGGCAAAGAATAAAAAACGAAACTGAAAAGTATCTCAAACCCAGCATAGAACAGACTAAAGGTTATAGGAATCACTGACTTCCTCCCAACTTCCTTTCCTTTCTTAAGTGCCAAACCAATCATTAGTCTTGTCTGTAGATAGAAATCAAACTGACACTGCCTTATTGAGCACAGTAAACTGTTTTCACTGGACCTTATTTAATAAGAACTAACTGCTATATGTGTAATGAGAATACCTAAAGTCATCCTTGAGTCCCAGGAGTGTAACAGATATGGCATGTGGTGTTTTCTTGTGCTCTGTCCTAAAGTAAGACAACCCTGGCTTTTTAAGCAGAATTTTCATATCTGTTAGTCTGGGAGTGTTGCCAGGGCCGTCTCCTTGCCTCGCCACCTATGTGGCCTTAATGTGATAGATAGGTTCACTGTACAAGTACAGCAAAGTGGATAATGGAAAGGAGTGCATTAGTTCCCATTATATACCTAGCCCTGGTTTGATGGCAGTGGAAAACAGCATTACACTTGTACCTAGAGGAGACTGATATTAATCTTAAATGTATTGTGAAAGCAGAAAACAAAACTGCTGAAATTTATCTTAATCTTGTCAGAGTGAAAAAGTGGCAGAGCAAGTATTGTTACTTCTCTTTTTGCCATTTTGGTAGGAAACCTAAATATTCAAAGAAAAATGACTGAAACAACTTTTATTTTTACAGGATACATCTAACTAAAAGTACTTTATAACGCAAGAATTTGAAGTAATAATCAGGGGTAATTTTAGTATTGTAATCCATATGCTGAAGCGGCTTAAGAGGTGAGTTTAAAAGTAAATGTCCAATCTTGGCACGCAGACCACTAGGTATCCAGAAGCTCTGTGTGCGTGTGCTAGGTATCTTCATACACTCTGCAATCACATCTTAAGGATATATATAATTAGCTAAAACTTATATTGTGACTATGGAACAGTATCAAATAATGTTGTGTATGAAGCTTTAGTAGGTCTGCAGAGCTCCTGGGAGGATCATATAACACATGTAAACATGTAGCTAACTGAGTGCTAAAACACACTCCTGGCATATCTACCTGATGGAAACCTGTTTCCAAGCAAGGGCTTTCCTGGAGACCATATAATTCAGGAAATTTAGACAGATACATCACTGCCTTTTTCCTCTATTGTCTCGTTCTCAATGGATGTCCTTGCACCACACAAGCCCTTGGAAGTAATGTGTTTGTTGCATCCTCCCTGAAGCAGACTGTTGATTACATTTTAGAAAAATGGTCAAAGTGCCTTCCTAGTCTGGCATGCTTTCAGGGAACATGCAAATGATCTTCTCAGCATCCTGCTTTTAATACTGGAGAACCCAGGCAATAGTTATTTTGCTGTCCTACTTTTAGCTCAATATGGTCATGACTGTATGAACTTGTGCGTCAGATCCCTGTTGTTTTCCTGCTGGTAGTCTATCAGGTACTCTAGAGTAGGTTTGGGGTCACCTAAACTCGGTCACTTAAACCTCACCCCCTTCTTCCTTCTCCATGTTTCCGCGTGCTTCAGCACAGGGAATCGTCTGATCATTAGGGTTTTCCAGTTAATATTGTAGGGGTTTACCTTGCTATATAAGTCTCATTCATTCTACTGTTGTTGCAAATTGGCAGTATACAACTAAAATTGAATTAAAATAAACTGAACACTTCAGTTGATCCTGTACTGTTATTTGATCTGTTACTTTTTTGAAGAATTGTGCATTTCTGGTCTGTTCCTTTCTACCTTCCTTCACAGTAATAAACTGTAAGATCCTTCAGTCTCTATCCTACTCCTCCTCTGCTACTACATCCAGCTGCCATCTGAATGGTGGTACACCATCTCATTCACTGTTTTCTTCCCCTAAGGCTTCTTTATTTATGCTTCTTCTTATTTTCCTTTCTCTTTGTCCTAGTTGCCCTTTCTTTCCTTTTTTTTTTTCTCTTTTGAACTTTGCAACCATGCCAGGGCTTTTTTTGTTTGTTTGTTGTTTGTTTTTTTACATCATTTTGCTTACCACTGAATATATCAGGGTAGGATGCAAAAAAAACACGCTGTAAAATAGTCCTTTGGGACATCAAACCAGCAGTTCTTGCCCAGTCCTTTGAAACTTTTCCTTGCTGCACTATGACCCATTGTTCCTCCTCTTCTTCCCGCCTTATTCATATACTCTTCTCTCGTCCAGCGATCTCACCTCTAGTGAACCCACACTCAGTGCCTTTCCCTTCCACCTCACCCACTTTCTTTTTTCTTTTGCCTTTTGATCCCACAGGCCTGCCTCAAAAGTGATTCTCAGAATCACCGGTGGCTCATCATTCCAGGGGTTTTGTGAAACTTTTTCATACTCTGGATTTGTATGTGTGTTGTGTGCCTCATCTATTTGGGCAAAAATAAATATGACTGGTAACACAGTTGGAAAGAGGAACTTGAGTGATGATTACACTTTACAGTTCTCAGTAACTTCATATACGAGGAAGAAGGTAAACCAGACGAGAAAGAAAAACAACATAATAAAATTAGTTGCAAAAAGGAGAAATTTAAAGGTTACTAGGAGTCACAGTTTGGGAGCGTTCTCATTTCCTTCGACAGCCTTTTCCCACAAAGTTTGGTTTCAGTGACACGTGTACGTATGGCTGACGGCAAGAAACTAATGGCCACACAAAATCAGCAGTTTTAAATCTCACTACTTGTTTTTTTTTCCCCTCCTTTATTCACAAATATAACACTATGCAGCTCAAACAGAAAATGCATCTATTTTAACCTCTTAAGCCCCAACGCCCCCAGATACGGGGGCAAAAGGCAGGACATCAGGTAGGCTTGGGGCTTAAGAGGTTAAGTCGATGATTATAAGAGCATCACATGTATTTGCAACTATATTTCAGTTATTAATGTAACTATTCATTTTACTTTCAGGTCAAGAGTGAAGGCCCTAAATTGGTGCCATTCTTCAAAGCAACCTGTGTATACTTTGTCCTGTGGCTGCCCACCTCAAGCCCGTCTTGGTTCAGCGCCTTGATCAAATGCCTGCCCATCTTCTGCCTGTGGGTGTTTTTGCTGGCTCATGGCTTCACCTTTCTCTGTGCTCACTCCAGTGCCCGCAAGATCTTGGCTGGTCTAATCTTTTCTGCTCTGGGTGATGCCTTTCTCATCTGGCAGGAGCAGGGCTACTTTGTCCATGGTGAGGAAAAGCTCTGCATTTTAACAATTATCTCATCAGATGTAATTCAACCATATAACAATAAATGTCTAGGTGTGTCCATTTAAAAACATCTCTGTTGTAAACAGCCATCAAATATTAACAGACATAACCCCTGGTTCAGGAATTGTTTTATCACCTGACTCCTCCTGGCTTCTTGGCCTTTTGAGCCCGTTGAAAACATTAATCAGAACCATTAGAAAGACTAAATAAAACTCAATGGAAACAACTTGTATTAAAACCTAATTATGGTTTCATGTATTATTTAATATTCTACAGGCCTTCTGATGTTTGCCATTACCCATATACTCTACTCTTCTGCTTTTGGGATGAAGCCTGTTAACGTGCGTGCTGGGCTGGTGATCACTGCTGTATCCTTTCTGTGCTATATCCTGCTGTACCCCTACCTCTCTGGCCCCTTCACCTATTTGGTGGCCGTCTACATCGCCCTAATTGGTTTCATGGGCTGGAGGGCCATCGCAGGTTTGCAGCTGGCGAATGACCTGTGGACCTGGACCAAGTTGTCTGCCTGCCTGGGTGCCGTGCTCTTCATGGTCTCCGACCTCACCATTGCAGTCAACAAGTTCTGCTTCCCTGTGCCCCATTCGCGAGCCATCATCATGGCCACCTACTACGCTGCCCAGATGCTCATAGCACTGTCAGCTGTTGAGTGCCAGGACGTGGAGGTGGCCAGGAAGAGAACATGAGTTGCAGCAGTCTCCAAACCATGTGATTATGGACACATCTCACTGCCAGGTTCCCAGCCCCCAGCCTTCATCTCAGTGTGGTGCTCAAACACCGCTGGGTCACTACAGCCTTTACATCACCCTTCTGCCCCATTAGCGTTGTAATCTCACATGTGTCCTCTAACCAAGAAGATACAGTAGTATTATCTTCTGCCTCACCCAACAACAGTCCTACCTGCCTCCTCTAAAGATAGAATGGCTTTCAACCTAGTTACAAAGGTGATAAGTGCAGTAATATTAACCTGCTATGTAGAGAGTATTACATACTTTTAACTGGCTAATGGAAGCATGTTACTGGGCACCTTCAAGGAGTGTGAATGGGAGAGCAATGGGGTCTGTGTGCGTTGATGTATTTGATTTTTTTTTACCTCGCTTCGCACACAGTCCTTTCACACACCTCACACTCCCAGCACAGACGTATGCTTTATGTTGTCCAGCATTACTTTTTAACATTTAGTTTGTTATTTGTTGTTGTTAAAAAGGGAGGGTTTTTTTTAATACCGACATATACATATTTTTTCCATTCTCTGTTGCTCTGTGTTCCCCTTAATTAAGGGTGCTATTCTAAAAGCTTGTCCAAACCTGTTTTCGTTATCTGCGATCCCCTTGATATTATTTATAACAATCCTGCCCCTCTACACTTTCATAAGTCGTCATCATCAACGTATTTTTTTAAAGTATTTTTTCTTCTATGATGTCCGCGAATAACTAGATGCACAGCTTAAAAATGATAAAAAGTAAACCAATAAGGCTGAAATTCAGGGAGGGAAATTTGGGTGTCAACAAACCAGTGTGTACTGTAAGTTTCATGACTGAACATTTATGTTGGATGGGGAAGAAGTTTAGCTTTCTCCTGAGATTCACACTGCTGTCAGTGTCCCGCTGTCACAAAGAGAACACACTAAATACCATAGTCACAGCAGACTACTGCACACATTATTACTTGCTGTGTAGTGTGCACCTGCTTCTCCTTTTGGTGTTAAGTCCACCAGGAATTTGTTTTCCCCACCAGCAGCTTTTTAAGAAACGCAGGTGCAGATGTTACCACGTACACACACCTGACACCCACAGCTCCTGCTGTGTTAGTTATTGGAAAAAGTTCATGGGGATCTTATTGCTAGAATGGATCAGCTGACATGCGCTTATTTGGGCTAATAGCAATGTTATGAAGACTGAAAAGAAGGGCTATGTTACAGGATGGAATCTTTTTGTTTATCAACTCTGTGTGTGTCTGTCAGGGCCCTGGGAAAGGGCTCACTCGCTCATAATGAAATGCACACATACATGCACAAAAGTGTGCGCTTTGTCCTTAAGGCAGCCAAAACGAACTGGAAAAACCAAAATGGAAAAAAATAGGGAAGACAAGGGAACTGGCATGTCATGTGAGGAAACAGTTATCCCATTATTCCCAATAATTCCCTCTCACAGGACACTTCATCAGCTTTAATCCTGCAAAATCCGCCACAGCTAATCCCTAACAGGCTGGCTCCTATTTTGTCTTTCATCTCTTACATATTTCTGCTTCTCACCTCTCGTTTGTTTTGTCCCCTGCAATTTTTATTTTATTTTAAAACTAAGTGTCTTACTGAATATTTAAGAATTACACTGCAACTTTTTCTTGAGATGTCTACACTTGCACGTGTTTTTGAGCGTCTGCATATGTGTGAGAGTGCGTACACTGCTTTTTTTTTTTTTTTTTTTTTTTTTTTTTTTTTTTTAGCTGTTGCTTGAACGTCTGTGTGTTCTTGTGGCAAATCAGAACCAACTCAAGGCCCGAAATGCTGTGAACCAACAGTTTCTATGAAGTACACACACTACTGGGTATTTTTATTGTATTATCACAATGCTCTTAAAACCATCTTCATGCCCATCGCCTCTTCAGAACTGCAGCTTTGTAACAGACTGCAGATCTACTGTCAGTTAAGAACTTGAGGCTAGTGTTTTAATAGTGACAATTTCCATTGCTGGACATGCCTCCTGTTTATATGCTGGTGGAGAAAAAATCTGATTGATCACACATTTAAATTATTCATCACTGTTAAACATGACAGTGGAACATATTTAGCGCAATAGTTTAATAATGAAACTCTCAGATGTGATGCTGTGTGTATATATTGTTTATGAAGCAACCGTGGAAAAATACAAGCCCATGTTATGGGTTTCTTCTGCTGGGTCATTGACCCCAACAGCTGTCAGCAGCTACATGCGCACAAAAAAACCCGACACACATTCAAACCCTTCAAAAGGTGTTTAGGCATCACCTTAGCCACCATGACAGATCTGCAGGCAGACAATGGTGTTGACTGTCATCAAGGTTTTTATCAATATCAGTATCGCAGTTTTGCTTTGACCGAGAAAGACACTTGGCACAAGTGGCTATTCTTGACTACTGCTTTGCCAGAAAGTTCCTCAATATTCTTTCAGCCTGTCACTATGCTTGTCAGCACAATGTTTCTGCTTTGTCAGTCAGAAATGTTCCATCAGTCTGGTCGTGTGACCACTTTTCTTCTGTTGCGTGTTTTAATTTGTCCTCCCAGCACTGCAGACTCTGACTCTGCAGTTCTCTCCCTGTTTTCCTCACCGATGGAGCACGTTCTGTCAACAATTAATATCGGCCGCCTTTGTGCTAAAAGCCGTCCACCGAAGCTTGATAGCAGTCTTAAAAGAAAGTGGAGTGCAAGTAGAGATGCTAGCCAACACAGACTCTAGTACATGGCCTCAAGTAAACCATGCAGGGATGGCGGGACTTAGTCAAGCAGTCTTACTCATCCTTACTATGTGGGCAATTTCTGTGGGCACCTCCTTCTTTGTCCTTTGCTACACAAAGCCTCCTGACTGTTGTTCCTACAGTACAGAGCATTTATTTATTTTTGAGATATTTCTTCTTGGCCAAACTGTTTCTTCTCTAAAGTGTCTGCTTTTATTTGATTTGGGCTCCAGAAACCAAGCTTAAATTATAATTCAAAACTGAACTCATTTGACTGAGTGGAACTTGTCAACATTAGAGGTTTCTCATGTGTCAAACCAGCTGTTGTTGTTTCACAGGTGACAAATCCCCCCACCACCACCACCACCACCACCACTGGTGCAGGATTGCTTTTAGCTTTTTCATTGAGGACGGAGGTTATTATTGGGTGATATTGTAGCTTGAATTAGATTACAAGGTGAAATATGACACAGAGGGGAAGCTGTTAGCTACCACCCTGTTCCCCCACAGATGGCAGGCCAGCAGGCGCATCAGTTTACCTTAGTCTGTCAACGGCCCGTTGTTCAAAGCTTTGTGTGCGCATATAAAAGGGACCAGAGAGAGCTGTCAGAGGTCTCCACAGTGAGTCCTGTGGTTTCACTTGGTCCTCTGAGTAGGTTAGCACTTTTCTTTGATTAGAAGTTTTCTTTCTGAATTCTTTTTGCTGTTGTTTCTTGTGATTGTTGATTTGAAGACTTTGCTGCTAATGCACTGTGCTCATGATTATGAAGTGGGTTGCATTCAAAACAGATAGCTGTAAAGTTTGTATATTTATCATGCATGACTAGTGGGCTGATGTGACTCCTCCACATCAACACCAATGTTTTTTTGTTTGTTTTTTTTACTACAGCTGACAGCCCTGCAACATCAGTATGAGCTTAAGAGAAATATGTGGAAATAAACATCTTTGTAAAATTATCCCCTCCCCCTCACCATGTTCTGCACTTTTCTGTACCCAAAGTAAGGCCAGTTGATCTCTCCTTAAACCTAGCAGTGAAAGTGTTATTAACAAAGGATTATTGTGTACTGTATCCTCTAAAGTATATGCTCATTTTCCTTTCATTTTTTTTTTCGAAAAGTTAGTGTTTTGAAAGTGACAAATCAGCATGTGAGAATCATGTGTTTTCTTTAAAAGACATTCATTTTAATTAAGTGTTACTTACCTTGATGTATAAATCTTTTTTTTTTAAAGTGTTATCCTTTCATTTGCAGAAAATGAAAACCCAAAATGTTTTGCCTGTCAATGTGGGAAAAGCCAAATTTGTTTCCCACAGATTATTTAATTCTTGTTTTAAGGTCCATTGCAACGCAGATTTGAATTCCGTTTATTGAAAGAATGTTTCACTTTTCTTTTAATTCAATGACATGCTTTACCTTGTTGTCCTTGATTTTTATTTTCACTTTATTGTGATTTCTTTCTTTCATGACTGTAGAGATGAAATAGTTTCTTTCCTGTAGTGAAACTGCTATGAATGTGAATAACTATTGGAGAAATAAATGCAATTACAATGCAAGTTCAGCAAAATGTCTTTTTTGTTGTTGTTGTTGTTGGTTGTTTTGTTTTTTTTTTGTTTCCTAGGATCACTGCATTGAAAATGTCAGCAGATGTTTATAACTCTTTGTTTTTTTGTGTTTCTACTGAAGCTGATGGTCCTCAGCAGTAAAGTGCCATTACAGACAGAATGAACTGGAGGACAACAGAGAGCTCTGTTCTAGTAGCTGCTGTGCAGTATTGTCTGGCCGAGGGAAATGTGCTTTCAACAGCAGTTAACCCTGTGAAAACTCAGTCAGAGTTCTACTGACAAGTCTCTCTGTTTCTCTTCCATTTCAGCTTCCTGTTACCTTACCTTGTCTGTATTTTCTTCCTCAACATGCACACAGACATCTTAAGAATTTTGTCCTGCTGAATCCGTGCCAGTTCTTTTCAAATGTGTCCCATTCATTTGCAGCCAAAGTCTTGCCATCAAAGAAGTCCAGTCTTCTAAGAAATAAAGTATCTCTTTTATGGCCCTTATAAAAACAGACTTCGTGAGACACGAAATATACATGAAACTGATGAAATAATGTCACTCCTGAAGAGTGAAGAAAGTTCTTTCTTTTTAAAAAAAAAAAACACTAAAAAAACTTAATCACATTAATGAAATGTGATGCAATAAAACATCAAAGAAATCCATTAGACATGCACAAGAATCAAGTTCCGTTTGAGCGCAGCAGCCTTTAGTTTCTTTGAAATGCTGAGACTAACCATTCAAAGTTTCACTCCACGGTATTTCAACTTTATTGTGGTTTAGCTGAATAGGGGAGAAGCGGAAGGTACCTGTGACGTCAGTTTAGTGCCTTTTGGTGCTTAATTGATTTGAACCTGGCAGTCTGACTGCCAGTCCTCTGGTGGGTCTATACAAATGGAGTTGTGGGCGCCAGCAATAGTGACGCAAGGACAGAGAGGGGTTGTAACCCCTCTCTGGCAGGCTGGCAGCTCCTTACCAGACCACACTCAGTCTCAAGCAGCAGCAGTCCGCTCTGAGGTAATGTCTTTTAAAGAGACTGTCGGATATGCAGATTAAAAGTAATCTGGTATTTTTTTTAAAGCACTGGATTTAAAAGGAATGGATAACACTGTAGCTAAGTGGACGTTATGGTTGAAAGTAGAATCTGTTGGATTCATACACACCCTTTATACATGCATTGCATTGTAAAGCAATACAGTAAGTTAGCATGCAAGCAGTGGCCAAGCAGCTGGCATGCAAAGTTGATCACCTGACCTCAAATCGGCTGCAGATTAGTGTCACTGGCCAAAAGAC